GTCAATTTTCTACAGTACAGTAAACTTCAAATAATATCCACAGCATCCAGAGCAAGGATGCCACTGCACCAACACCTCCGCATGACCCTTAGCAGAAACAGAAAGAAACATGGGTTAATGTTCATGACATTTACTTACAACACATGAAGTAACAATCATACATCTGCTGAACGCTAAATACAACATTCAATCCAAGTCAAATTAATAGTTAGTGGGACTAAGTCTATCATAATAAAACTTTAATTATTAATTATTAGCATAATTCAATAACTTTATTACTATATTATCAATAAAATTTTGTAAAATATGGAACAGCAGTTTTTTATTTTTGTCACACAACCATTGCTATGGTCAGGATTTTAAATTTGCACAACTTAAATTGTGAAGTAAAATGTTTATTGTTAAAATCCACGGTTGAACATTATAACATGAATTATATGAATACCTAAACCTTACATTAATTATTTAGTATATTTGATCATGCTTTTTGCAATTACATTGGAATTACAACATACAAAATAGCAAAATAATATTGTTATTGTGAATGTGTTTTTTTGTGTTCAGTTATTCAGTATTTTTTAAATGTTTTTTGAAACAAACCTCCCTGATTCTTTTCCTCAACAGTTTTTTGTAGGGGAAACTGGTTGATTCTTTATGCATGGGGCATTCTGAAAAAAAATTAAATATGGTTATAATTTGTAACAGACATAAGTAAAAGAAAAAGTTAACAAACATCTTCTTAACATTACCATGAGGGTCATGGATAAAGCAAATTTTTAAAAGGAAAATCAAAATTGCAGCTTAGTGTAAACATATGGACAGGACCGTTTTCATCGATGTTACAGTAATATGACAATGATTATTTTTGAGACATGGGGATTCCCATAACACACCACACTTTTTTTGTTTAAGTTACAGATTTTATTGTTTGGAGACTGTCTTTTTACAATGCTCACATGCTCATGATATTTTTTTTGTCACTCATTACTGAGATGTAATTATTATTCCTGCAGTTACATCTTAGATTCATGTTTTTTAAACACTTCATTTCATGATTTGTATGAACACGGGGAATGGTCAAAGCAACACAAAAATTCTTTACATATACATATATGTAAAGTGTAAATACACATATATATTAAACTTAGAAAAGCTAAGAGTGCCACGGCATTTGTTCATTCAATGTGTTTGACTTCCAGAGTAATATGCTTTCAATTTATTAAAATTGATTAATTAAATAAAGCTGTACAAAAGCAGTCCGTTGTGCTGCTTTATTGTGCAAACTTTTAACTGTTAAGACATTTCAATTTTATTATCATAACCAAACACACTGGTTCATAGCACATGTACTTCACTTTGTTATTCTTCTATTCATTTACCTTTAGATGGTAATAAATCGGAGGCTCGCACATTCAAAGAAAATAGCTTACCAGTACTTCCAATGGTGCAAAATAATGGATGGATACTAAATGTATGTTTCTTAGTTATATATTTGTTTACATTAAATCATTTAGCAGACGCTTTTATTTAAAGTAATTTACAAATGAGGAGAACAATAAAAGCACTCAGATCAACAGGAGGGCTTAGGTACTGTATGGTCATAACACTGAATAGCTTGCTATAAATGACTAATCGATTCTTGAGATTTAAGAAGCGATATCGGTTTGTAAAAATGAGAATCGATTAATATCGAGAAATCAATATTTTTTACCCAGCCCTACTGAATAGCTTGCTATAAATATGTTGCAATGTGTGCAAAAGAAAAGATTACAATATGTACATTGGTAGAATTCTAACCCAGTCCTTTTCAAAAAACAATGAGAAAGGCCCTGTTCTTTCAGCACTAAACCTGTGATCACATTGCAAAATCAAACTTTGATTCATATGTCAAAAGTAAAATCCTCAAATCAACAAATCCACACATACCTTTATGATCTGCTTTGCTCTTTATTTGTCTTTTTTTTCCGTGAGGAAGATACTGGGCCTGGACTGCCGAGCTCAGAGGACCGTTTAGAACAGGTAGAAAGGGTAGAGGCTGGTGGCAGAGGAGAAGCCAGAGAAGAAGATACAGGACTAGACTGAGAGGAGATGAAAACAGGATGAGACTGGAGGACAGGGACGGACTGGGACTAAAAAACGGCCCTGGACTTTGAGTAGGCCCGGCCCAAAGCAATCGGCGCGCGGAAACTCGACAACAACAACAATAACGCCTGCTGCCTGGCATGAGTGTCACAAGACTTTAATTGTGGCTCATAATACTATACCTAGCTAACAGCAAATTATACAATCTATTCCATGCTGTCTTAAAATGAATTTATTACTTAATAATCTTAATTAATTTATGCAGTAATTAATCTTAGCTACAGCACAAATAAAAATACCACATCTAAATGAAAATAGGCTACACCATTACAAATGTAACTTCTGTATTCAAAATCTTCAAAGTTTGTAAGCATTAACTGTAACGTTACCAACATTTTTAAAAGTAAAAGCACAACATATTTCTTAATATTAGCTACTGCATGTGGCATTTTACAGCTAAAATGTTGAAGTTTAGCTGTTTTAACTACTGTAATCATTAAAAATGTAGCAAGCTGAATATCACTTCCTAACATCATCCCTAGCAAGTAACTTGCAAAGTAATTTCTGAATAATTCGGTTCGTCAGTAGTAGAGATAAAAGCCCGCCCGCACTTGATTGGTTGGGTCCTTACATGCGCTTCGTGAGGCACACGCGCACACTAGCACACACACGCAAGGTCTCTAGCTCGCTCCCTCTCTCTGCCGTGCACGCGCTACGCATGCGCACTCTTATTCGCTCTAGATTCCGAGAGATTTTAACTAATTTGCGGACATCAGTGAGCCGCTATAAATATGCGGGGAACTTCCGGGAGACTTGGGATGTCTGTGACTGCGTGTGTGGTGGGTGGTGGGCCGGTGGGCCGGCCCGCCGGCCGTCCTGGAGTACCGGCCGTTCTGTGATTCTCCAGATCACACAGATGGCCAGTCCGCCCCTGCTGGAGGAGCAATGGATAAAGACATAGGAGATGTCAAGGAGGTGGTGAACGAAACAAGAGAAGCCAAGGAGGCAGATGCAGGAGGAAGTGAAAGAGTGTCAGACTCAGGGCTGAGCAGAGGTGTGGACTCTGATGCTGGGTCTGCTGGTGGAGTCTCTGTCTGTGAGGTGTTTATGGCAGAACTCGCTCCCATGCTGCTCGCTTCTTTATCTGCAATAGCCACTGTTGGAAAAAAGAAACTGTGATGTGGACATGAGAATAATAATAATTCAATAATAATTCAGCAAAAACAAATAAATAAAATAAAGTTTTATTATGGTTTTGTAGTTTTATTTATTTTATTATTACGTTTAAGTCCACGTATGAGTTGTATTTATTAATGTAATATCAATTTGACATTATCAAAATAATACCCCGCTCAAGTTTTCTTATGTAATTTCCCCTATGTAAAAGGTTGGGAATATTATTTTTATATACATATTTTAAAACCTAAGGTGAGAAAAAAATAAAGTCTTTTCAAATTAATTCTCAAATCAATTGAGGATGCACTAATAAGCAATAAAATATGTGGAAATTTAGCATGCATTGCACATTTGTGTTTATTAACATTAAGAAGACTTTCATACAACCTCTTTATTGTAAGAAAAGCATCCTGAGTATCTTCTGTATCATCTTCCATGGACAGAAGCACTCAGCGGAAAAAACATTTGAGGTTCTGCTGGCAAGGAGAAGGATTGGGAACCTCTCTAAAAGTTCCCACTTGTGGAGCTGGAACAGGGGCGTCAGTTTGTGTTGAAAAGTGGTGGGGACAAAAGATCAGATGAAAAAAACATACAACAATATAAAAAAAAAAACAATATCGGCGCGCGTTATTCGTCAGCGTTTTTCAACGTGTTTTTTTGTGTTCACAGTCACACTCAAGCGATTTTCGCTGACGATGAGCCGAGTGAACATACAAATTCATTCCCTGACATTAGATGGCGCCCATTTGCTCTGCAATACCACTCCATAACATTCTCTTTTATCAAGATTTTTGTAGTCGCTGTCGCGTTTGTCATATAGTTCTTCGTTTGTCATATAGTTCTTCATGTTCCGACACCAACGAGACCAGCAGCTCTACATTCATCTTGCCTTGCATCTTCCTCGTCTTATTTCTTCCCGGCAGTGTAGACCATAGACAGTAAAAGAAATGGACAGAGCGATCTCATTGGAACTCAGTTGAGACAGTTGAAGCCCATTTTTAGCGATTTTTGAGCACTTCCGTTCCTGACGCGCAGACTCAGACCGACTCAAACTAAGCTTGATGACGTGAGCAACCTGTCTGACAGACGTTAATCTTCTAGTAGCTGTGCGTGAAAACTGCCAACGTTAATCTTGCAGAGACGGGGAACTTGAGCAAAGAGTTCTTTGGCGTGAGTGAGCAGGAGTAAGTATTCCGTTGCTTTTATGGACTCATTATCTATGGGCTTCTCCCTTGACGGGACGTCCCCCCGATTGCCTGCGAGCTTCTCCTCCTGTCTGTACGGTAATTTCTGTACAGCGCGACAGAGAGTCGAGTGGTTATGACGCAATCGTTAGCCTATTTTTACTAAATCTGTTTCTACGGGGCCATAGTGTAACATAGAAGGTAATGGAGCCCTTTATACATTGTCGTGTTTCTTTAGAAATAAATAATGGACAAATGGAGTCTTTAAACGCCTCAGATGTAAAGTTATTCGCTGTCAAAGTGACGCATGAATGGGAGTCAATGGAAATGCTAACGCAAGTGAAGTTCTGCTACAACATGGCGGCACCCGGCTGGCTTCAACTTCCGGTCGATGGATTACCCCCTTGGTGTAGACGCTACTTGGCATATATCTTCTTCGCCGTTACGTGTGTGTGCTCGGCAAGACCGTTTTGTGTTTGAGCGCCCCCAAGTTGTGTTTTACTGTAACTTCAGAAGCTCCAGAAACGTGAGCAAAAGCGGCAATCTCATGAGATATATCCAGCTGCAGACCCGCAGCACCACCAGTTTCAGAACCCCAGTGCCAGAACCGGAAGTGAGGGAGGGGCGGAATTATTTACAATGACACAAACATGGTTATTTTTGCAAGTATTTAAAAATATTTAAGATTGTTGCACCTTTTAAATAATATTTAGGGTATGTTTTTATTACACAGTGAGTCACTGCTCGTTGTATGAACTATAACTGGTATGTGACAAATAAAGAGCAAGACAGCGCTCGTGTTGTTTGAAGACGTGAGTGTGCGCGCGCGCGGCCAGGGCTCTCCCTCTCTGCTCTGCCCTGTCATGCGCAGCAGTCATTCTATTCTACATCACTCACCGATCAAAATAGGCTTTGACGGGACAAAAATTTGATTTGGCGACAGCCAAAAAGCGGACGATCTGACGGGTTTTAGAAGATTTAATACAACCTGAAACTAAAAAACAGACCCGACCTCTATTTGAGACCGGCCTTATATTTGCCAGACCTGCAGCCACACCAGGCGTGCAAAAGAGACGATCGTCAATTTGGGACTCGGCTATTATTTGAAGTACGGTACATTTTTATGGTTTCTTTTAAAACAATGCCGGATTTTCTCTCTCTTTTTAGATTTTTGACATTATTTTACATAAAGAAAAATGCATGCTGCACATGTTCTTGTGAAATAAAGTATATTTTATATAATATGACCATAAGTTTCAAGCATTATTTTTCACCATCATGATCAGGAAGTAACTCTCATAATACAATGAAACGGATAACTATATAGAATTATATTACACAAAATCAATGTTTTAAAATGCTTATTGTACTATACCTTAATGTATCATTATAATATGTATAAAGTATGACATTTCGTGTGTAATAATGCCGTTTCGTGTCTAAGCAAATTACGCTCCAAAACGTTAGGTGGCGTTACTCGGTTTAGAACGTAAGCTCCGCCCCTCACTTCCGGTCCTGGCGCTGGTGTTAGAACGTAAGCTCCGCCCCTTACTTCCGGTTCTGGCGCTGGGGTTCTGAAACTGGTGGTGCTGCGGGTCTGCTGCTGGATACTATTGAATCTCATTGGTCGGATAGTTTTTGACGCGGCGCGTCAAACTAAAAAAACGAACCCGAGGCATTTTTTTAAAAATTACGCTTTTACGCGTGGCGTTTTTCGTGTCGGTGTGCACACTCACATTGGCGCCCTTTGTTTAGTCACGAGGCGTTTTAAACGTCGGCGCGCGAAATTCGTCCCGGTGTGAACAGGCCTTTAAACGTCGGTCCCGGTGTGAACAGGCCTTAAAACCCTCAACAATGTCGACTGCACGTAACTGTCCCTGCACCATACTACAGGGCTCGACATTAACGCTTGTCCGGGACAACTGGATTTTTTGAATGGACAAGTAAAAGAGAATTTTACTTGCCCAACCGGACAAGTAGCCTCCACAGGCTGCGTGCTCGTTTGTCCCCGGGGGACACCACACACGAGGAGAAATGGGGCCAAAAAAATCAAACGTGTTGGATATCCCCGATTAGAGATCTGAGCGGTCCCGGCGGCCTTCCGAGCAGACGAGAGGAGTCTTAACACACCACACACGGCAGGAATATCTAATCAGATTATTTTACGTTAATCGGAGCATCCTTAAGATTGTCGGAAGGGGTGAATCGGGGCTAAAATCGGCCTAATTATCCTGCCGTGTGAACCAGGCTTTACTGATCGGCGCATGCATGTTTTTGGGTCATTTTAGAATCAGTAATAGTTTATTTTGTTTAAGTTACTTTTTTGGACAATGTGCATTGTTTCTTTCTGTATCTAAACTGCATTGCATGTTTTATTTTGTGCAAATAAACCTTTAACATTTCTTGGTTCGCTTGATTTTTCAGAACATTTTAACCAAATGCTTTCAAAAAGTGGTGGGGACAAAATCAGCCATTTCAAAAAGTGGTGGGGACATGTAAAAAGTGGTGGGGACATCTGTGCATCAGCAACACACACACACACACACACACACACACACACACACACACACACACACACACACATTCATATACAATAAAACTATAACAATAAACATATTCTGTGTATAAAATGTTACAGAGATAATGTAAATGTTTAAAAGTTACATGTAAACTTTATATCTTTTGAAACATTTATGTGCTATACTTGACAATCACGTTCATGATTAGAAATATCATTATGGATGAGTTTAGTCTAAACATTATTATATTTGCAGGCCTGATAGTGAAGATTTCTGCTGACACTCATCTGAGCTTCTTCCTCTGTTCCACCTTTAATTACAACTAAACCATCATTTGGCTGAATAATAAACCAACATTAATCATTCAATATCACATGTTTCTAATACGCATGCTTTATTTAATAGTGAAGTCTGAGTCTCTTCCACCTGTATGAAACACATTTACACATGTATTTCTCCTCATAGACAGCAGTGAGACTCTTCTGTGGATCACCTGATGGTTTCTGCTCCTCTCATCTCCATTTCACAGATTTAAACCTTGATGTAAATCCACTGTCGTTTGATGATCGATCTTCATCTACATTCATATACTGTAATCTACTCTGTAAAGTGGAACAGAAGAGAAAACAATCAGCTTGTTTTTGTGTAAAAATAAGTTACATTAAATTCCTGTAATCAGATTAATAACCGACTTTACATGATCTTGCATAGATATTTGTGTTTTTAAATATAATAGATGTAAAGCCTGAATCATGTTCATATGTGTGTGTGTGTGTGTCGGTGCGACTCCTATTGAGTCTCTGTAAAGGAGAAACTAATGAGTGTACGGCGTATGGAATAAACCACAGGGAGCAAATACTAATGTTATTTTGAGTTAAACACAAACCTTTAGTTAAAGCCGTTTGTCCTCTAGTTTAAACATGTTTGTAGGCTCTTAGTAAATAACTGAGAGTAAAGTAAGTGTAGAGTAGTGTGACGTGTTGCTTTTCACAGTAAAACACACTAGAGACAGAGACATTGCTCATGTGAGCTGGACGCTGTGAGCTGAAGCTGGAACTGCACTGATTTTAGCAGGAGTGCAGCGTTTCCTACAATCTGACCAAGTCTGTTTTCACACTGAAATGATTCACTTCTACTGACACAGTTCATAAAGCAGGTGTTGATGTATAAAGCTGTGACAGTGAGCTTTTCTTCTCTTTCCTCCTTTGTGTTCAACATTTCAATAACTTCACATCAAGGATTGTTCACATATCAGAGGTAAATGAAGATCTCTTTAATATCTCAGTGATGTTTCCTCACCTCAGGACACAGTTTGAGTCTCGTAGCTCGTCTCTGAGCAGCTGCTTTGAGTCTCCTATCTTATTGTAACTCAGATCAAGCTCTTTTAAAAACTGCAGTGCTTTTGAGTTAGTCAAAGACTGAGTTAATGAAGAAGCATCTGTAATGCCACAGTCATGTAGACTAGAGAGACACAAACAGAGGAAGAGAGATTATCTTACAAACAAATCATGAATGTGAAGAATTTTACACAGATATAATGTGAACTCAGACTCACAGTCAGATATTGAGAATTAAGTGTTTTAGTTTAAAAAACCCAGAAAGTGCACTGCTATAAACAATGAAACATAAGCCCTGCTGTCTTCAATTAAATAAACTTCAGTCACACTGTAATTGATGTACAGTATAATGATACTAACTGTAGTTTCTCCAGCTTGAATTGTGGGTTCATCAGTAGATCACTGAGGTTTTTCAATCCAGAGTCTCCTAGTTTATTCCCTCTCAGGTCCAGCTCTCTCAGGTGTGACGGGTTTGATTTCAGAGCTGAAGTCACATCAGAACAACCTTCATCTGTCATATCACAGCAGATTAACCTACATTAGCAGAGAGAGAGAGAGAATGAAGAAAATAAGAGACTCTTTATTCTGTAAAGTCACATCATCTTCATCAGCAAATAAAACAGACAGAGGAAGAGAGATCTTCATCTTTATTTCACCAGATCACAAAATACTACTGTGAAAATGTTTGTACAAATATAATGTTAATGTGTTCTAGTTTAAACAGTTGAAGTGATTTTAAGCATTTTGATTCTTGTATGTGAATGTGACTGACCTCAATCTCTCCAGTTTAAAGTGTGAATCCTTCAGTACGGCACATAAGTGCTTCACTCCTGAGTTTCCTAGATTATTTCCGCTCAGGTCCAGCTCTCTCAGGTGTGACGGGTTTGATTTCAGAGCTGAAGTCACATCAGAACAACCTTCATCTGTCATATCACAGCATCTTAACCTACATTAGCAGAGAGAGAGAGAGAGAGAGAGAATGAAGAAAATAAGAGACTCTTTATTCTGTAAAGTCACATCATCTTCATCAGCAAATAAAACAGACAGAGGAAGAGAGATCTTCATCTTTATTTCACCAGATCACAAAATACTAAGGTGAAAATGTTTGTAGAAATATAATACAGCATTTAGTTTCCAATAGTCTGTTTTAAAACCCAGTCACACTAGTTCTGTGCGCTGGAAGACACTTTTTCTTCTCTTTCATTTTTAACTATTTATTTGACGTCTCTCTTCTTTATTCTGTTGTAAAGGCAGATTTCTGCATGTACACAATCAGTACATTGTATCAGATGCTGGGAATTAAACAACTACTATCTACACTCTAAAAAGATGTATATGATGTACACATTTTTTTGGTGAAACATTTTTACACTCAAAAATATTGATTCAATTTTAAAGCAGTGAAATCAATTACAATACACTGTATAAACTGAGTAAATGTAAGTAAAAAATTTTAGATCTGAGTAACTGCATCTGGTACATTAACAAATAAAATTGAGTAGAAATAATTGTGGAAAAATGTAAAAAATATCAATATTTATGAGTAATATTAACTTTTTTATTTTCTATAAACCTTTGTGAAATAGTTTTGTTTTAACTGAGTAAATCTGCTCAATTTCTCAAGAGTGTGTTAAATATATTAATAATACTGATTTGAATTAAGTAATATTTGTGGTTCTTGAAACATATCAGTTTAATTCTCCATTCTCAAATATTTTGATTATATTTTCATTATAAAATATTAGGCTGTGTATACCGACATGGATCAATTATTAATATTAGATTTCATCTGTCTTTTGTAGGCATAGCTGATGGCGCACCAACGTAAAAGCCTATAGTGACTTTGGCGTTTCTTTAATATCGAGGCTCTATAGTTTATTATATGATTGTTAGGCCTGTTGATGGTATAAAATGAATTGCACTGTGCCTGAAAAAGACGCGCTCTCCGCTCTCTTCCCGTGCATTCAAAATTAACGGGAGTCTTCAGAACAGGCTCGTCCAGCGTCAACAGCACCGAACTTAGCTCCAATGTCAGTCAACGTCTGGGCCACTTGATGGAATCCTTTACCAGAAACAATATCGAACGGGCGCATATCAAGAGAGCGCACAACTTATTCCAGGCAACACTTTTCTGACCTTCTATTTCCTTTGTTTTTAATTCTCCTTTTTTGAGTTTGTCACGTAGCTACCTCCTTCGCCGGCGTTGCCATCTCTGATAACAACAAGCAGTCTCTGCATAGACTCGAGCTGAAGAAAATTTGACTATTTCAAAGTGTGCTCGATTTATTTTTTATTTTTTGGATGTAGGTATAGTCAGATACCTTAACAATATATATATATGTTGATATATTTAACAATGTATATTTTTCATTTGATTGGTTCAACCGCCCGCCACCCGCCCTAATTAAAAAAAAAAAATCGTCCCGTCATCCGCCCGATCCGCGGTTTATCCGCGGAGGCCGCGGCTGTAACCGCCAACCGCGCATCTCTACCCCCTATCGCATTTTAATACTTTTAGTCTGATCGCATTTTAATTTATCTCTAAATTATTTGAATAAACAATGACAAAAACATTTGACTGATCATTAAATACATGTTTGAAATGAACAATGATTGATTTTGGTGTAATTTGTTTCGAATTGAGACTGGGGAATCCCCGGGTAAACATGCGTATTGCGTCACTCAATTTGCCATACTGTCAATTGAGAATGCCCGTGGATCTTAAGGATCACCATCTGGATCTTAAGGATTTAATCGACAACTTTGCACAGAGGAAAGCACGGAAAATGCCGCTATAATGCAAGTGAGCATCTTTATGTCATGTCTTTGGACCTAAGCCTATGTGTGTGTAGTCATAGCAGTGAGTAATGTGTTACGGTGTGCCGTCACCAGTGTTTTTTATTTTGTTGTGGTGCGCGTAGGCTACTCCTGATTTTGTCAGTCATCTCATCTCTTATATGCATCATCACGTGCAGTAGTAGGGGGACCCGCCTTGATAATCCTGCATAAGGGCCCGGTGTTGGCTTGTTACGCCACTGGTCCTAAAGCAAACTCATAAGAATAGAAACGTCTCACGACCAGAGGGGCAAAAGCTCACTAGATCATGGTTTTCAATATGAATACAGAGTGTGAAATTAAGATCTTTCTGGCTTTTAACCCTTTGATGCACAAGATGGGTCTAAATAGACCCGACTGAGTTTTCATTTTCTATATCTTTGCAAGAAATAAATTTCATCATTCAGTATTCCAGGTATTCCTCAATTAACTTGTTTTAGATCATTACAAATCCTTATTTAAATTTTTCCTTTCTTACTTTTCGAATACAAATCGTTTTTGTGTCACTACCCTTCTAATGCACAACATGGGTCTTAAAATACCCGTATTCATGTTTCTTTGCTGAATATTTGAAAGAAATGTATTTTATCATTTATTAATCCAGGTATTCATTAAATATCTTCTTTTTGATTTCCACAAATCATTATGTTTATTTTTCCTTTCTTACTTTATAAACAAACACGGTTTTTGTATTTCTACATCAATTTTACACACATGGGTCAAAAATGACCCATATAGGAACCTTTGATATTTATAAATAGTATAAATATATTTACTGCAGAAAACTATTCACCTGCCTCACATTTCTCAACACGGCTGCTTTTGTATATTTCATGCATGTAAGTTTTATTTAGTACATTTTTTGTCACAGAAAATATTTGATATTTTGTGAAAGACATCTAAATATAGCCTAATATTTGAACATTTAGGCTAAGGTTACCTTGACCTTGAAATCCATTACTTGTGCAAAAGAGAAACATGTCCAATACTATTAGCTATCTTGCAGTCGACATATTCTATTTTATCTAATGTTAGCTAGGTCAAGAAAATAATTTATCTATTTATCAATCTATTTGCAATAGAAAGTTTTTATTTGTGGTCATAAATCAATGCTATCGGTCACATAAGCCGTCGTGTGGTGGTGTTCTGGTGCACTATGGCTGCTGTCGCATCATCCGGGTGGATGCTGCACATTTGTGGTGGGGAGATCCCCCTACAGTTGCACTACACTACAGTTCAATTTCAGTGTTATCGGTTATGTGTGACAAAGTGGCCAATAAACATATTTCAAGTGTTACAGTAAATGTGTTGATCTAAACAACTGTGACATTGCTTATTTAACAAAAAGTTCTTTATTCTTTTGTTTTAATTTATAGATCATGATATATTGGGGCGGCAGTGGCTCAGTGGTTCATGTGGGTTGTCTACAAACCGGAAGGTTGGTGGTTCAATCCTCGGTTCCACCTGTCCAAGTGTCGAGGTGTCCATGAGCAAGACACCTAACCCCAGCTGCTCCCGACGAGCTGGATGGCGCCTTGCATGGCTGCCGTCGCCCGTCGGTGTATGAATGAGTGAGTGAATGGGTGAATGTGAGGCAAATTGTAAAGCGCTTTGGTGGCCATTGGGTCTTTCGTTGGCCATTTATCAATCTATTTGCAATAGAAAGTTTTTATTTGTGGTCATAAATCAATGCTATCGGTCACATAAGCCGTCGTGTGGTGGTGTTCTGGTGCACTATGGCTGCTGTCGCATCATCCGGGTGGATGCTGCACATTTGTGGTGGGGAGATCCCCCTACAGTTGCACTACACTACAGTTCAATTTCAGTGTTATCGGTTATGTGTGACAAAGTGGCCAATAAACATATTTCAAGTGTTACAGTAAATGTGTTGATCTAAACAACTGTGACATTGCTTATTTAACAAAAAGTTCTTTATTCTTTTGTTTTAATTTATAGATCATGATATATTGGGGCGGCAGTGGTTCATGTGGGTTGTCTACAAACCGGAAGGTTGGTGGTTCAATCCTCGGTTCCACCTGTCCAAGTGTCGAGGTGTCCATGAGCAAGACACCTAACCCCAGCTGCTCCCGACGAGCTGGATGGCGCCTTGCATGGCTGCCGTCGCCCGTCGGTGTGTGAGTGAATGGGTGAATGTGAGGCAAATTGTAAAGCGCTTTGGTGGCCATTGGGTCTGTGAAAGCGCTATATAAATGCAGTCCATTTACCATTTACCATATATTAAATGCTCAAATAAAGTGATTTCAAAAGGTGAAACAAAAAAATGCCAAACCATGCATGAAATAACATAGGAAAAGAATACGGGTCTTTTTAGACCCATGTTGTGCATTAGAAGGGGTATCCATAGCTTGCGCATCAAAGGGTTAAGCAGGAGAAGCGAGAAACGTCAGCACAGAGAAAACTGGCTTGTAAAACTGCATGTTTGTGAACATCTGGAGACTCATAGACCTGCTACAGAGAGATGCAGTGAATCTGGGCTTGATGGAAAACTATTGTGTTCAGAAAACTATTTCACTAAAAGGTTATCTAGAATTTTGATGAGAAGTGTGCACAAAAATAAAATTGTGCATTTCAATTATCAAGGTATACTCCAGAATAGCAGCACATATACTGACCCATAATGTCTATTTGACCTGTAGCTCATATCACAACTAAACTGTGTTGACGTTTATCATCATCATGACAGAACCTGCAGCGTCTGATCTGATCTTGATCATTTTGATGCAACAAATTGTCAAGCTAATTGTATAGCTAAAATAATATATTAGTTATGAATATTTAGCCTCCATATAACTAATTTAGTTAAATATTTGATCCTGTCTCACCTCAGTGTCTTCAGTTGACAGTCTGGATCCTGCAGTAAATCATTGAGCTGCTTCACTCCTGATTCTCCAGGATCATTTCCTGTGAGATCCAGCTCTATCAGGTGTGAAGGGTTTGATCTCAGAGCTGAAGCCAGAGCTTTATAACCTTCTTCTGTTACACTGCAGTTAGAGAGTCTAGAACAGGAATGAAAGCATTCAACTGATTAATAAGTTAAACCCCAAACAATATACATCCTTAAACTTGAATTTTATTTTGTTCTTTGAACAA